CAACCTATTCACGAACAATCATGGCATGCGTATCTTGCAGAGAGCGGAAGGTGGGTCTCGTGTACTGGGCTTCGAGCTAGAATGCGAATGTTGCTGGAGGTTCGATGCAGCAGTTTCCAAAACACGACGAAGGAAAGTGTCGCAGATGCTATTGACAAGGGCAAGAATGCACTTTCCAGCCAATCTCAAACGACATCGCCAATGCCCTTCTGCGAGCCGTCGCCGAGAGCTGTACGCACGGTAGCCGGGATCGCTGGCTGGCTGATCCAGCAGGAGTAGTAAATACGGGCAGAGGCATCTTTGAATTGGAACCACGATCACTACACCCGCAAATTAACCTCTTATCACCCAGTCACGCTTCAAGAACAATGTTGGACCGTCTATACGACAGCAGACATGCAAAGCGCCTGACGACCAGACCGACAAGCGACCCTGGGCGGTTTTGACATCGACATACACCACGCCGAGACCTGACCTACGCTGAGGAACTCGCAATGGATACGTCAAGTGTGTAGGCCGGCAATACCGCTTGTATAGGAGATTGCGGATTTTGATGAGGGGATAATGAGGCATTCCACCAACTCGGCCTCGGGGACTGCTGGACGCAGGTAGGCTGTGATGAGCTTGAGTAATTTGGTCCATAACTTCAATGTGACACCTCGACAGTCTGAACAATGAGAGACAAGTGCAGTAAGGAGTCAGATAGAGAGTGCTGGGTGGCCGCAAATGCCCGCCGAGTTGACGAAGACACTCTCAAGACACGATCCAGCAAAAGATGCCAATCCACTTTGCCAGACTCCGAGGGCATTATATCCGCGTTGGCTACTGTACAGTACAATTGCAGCTTGGTGCAGAAGTTGCTACAGGTGTGCCACAAGGATCCATCCGCCGAGCTTGAGCTGGGTTCGGTGTCCGATGAAGGTTCTGAGAGAATCGTCACCGTGAAGAATTAAGGCTGATCGGGGTCTGTGGCTTGGTACATGTCGTGACTGTGGTGTTCTCAAGACCTGCCAAAGATTAGGATTGGCGACTGGATGGCATAGCGCCATTGACTGCTCTTGCGGCAGTCGCCTGCCAGAGCGCGTTCCTGCCAACGATCAGAACCATGCTACCCACCACCTCGCTACCCACCATCCCGCTACACGCCACCACGCACCACTCCCAACAATCCACTCATACCGTGCCCTTCACACCAACCTCTGCGCTCGACGCCCCTGATCATCATTTCGCTCGTCGGGTTGACGGCCTGGACCGTGAACCCCTTCATATCGTACAGTACCGTATCGGCAGCGTACAGCACAGTACAGTACATCGGAAGTTGATCTTTGAACTGGCCATTTGCTATGTATCGTATTTGCTCTTCAAAGGTGCCATATGGATGTGGGGCTTCCCCGGGGTTTTGAGCACTGGATTGACCGCAACCGATCGGATGCAGTAAGCCTATTGTGGACGCACCTGCGCGCCGCAAGTTCATCCATTCACTTAATTGCCGTTGGAAGGCTATGTAGGGCAGTCTCTCCGGTCCGCAGTAACGTTACGGCAAGACAGCGACGACCACCATCTCGATCTACATTCACAATCTCCTCCCATTATCTGGTGACAGCTAGGCCAGAATCCTCGGAGGCACTTGAACATCTGGAAAATGGCCCGCGTTCAAAATAGCAGTGGGCCTGAGCAACCGGCGGACGAGATGCTCTTGCAGTCAGGCCAACATAACGTGATTGACAGTTTGACGACAATTGCAACCGAGGCTTACAAAAGATACCAATTGACTGGCAATAGGGAAGACATTGACCTGGCTGTTGCGAGCGCACAAACTGTTGTAAAGCTGAGCGACGGAGACGGCGATCATTATGCAGTGAGATCAAGCATCTTGTGCGTTATGCTAAGTCGTCGCTTTGAGTGCGCTGGAGCCGTCAGTGATTTAGAAGAGGCAGTTGATATGGCTCAGCGTGCGGTCACAAGTACAGCCGATACTCATCCCAATCGCGCCGCACGACTCAACAACCTCGGCAATATGCTTTTTCGGCGTTTCGAGACCACAGGATCCGTGCACGATTTGGAACAGTCCATATCCGTGACTAGAAGGGCTGTCGCAGCGTCGTTAGAGAGTCATACGGATCACTCGCAATGGCTAAACAACCTCGGGAGCAAGCTTGGTTCTTGGTATAAAGCTACTGGCAACCTTGATAGCCTCGAAGAAGGTATTGCGGCGGCACGGCAGGTTGTCACCAACGCGCAATATGACCATCCCAACTATGCGGACTTCTTGGGCAATCTTGCAAAGAATCTCGTTCTGAAATACGAACAGACCAAAGACTTTGCGTTTCTCGAAGAAGCGATCGAGAAAGCTCGCACGGCCGTGGCTGCAACTCCACCTGGGCCAGCAGTTGCGGTAGGCCTGCGCAACCTCAGCCATGCTCTTGTGCTTCGATACGAATGCACGAAAGTACTTGGCGATTTGGACGAAGCCATTACATTGGATCGACAAGCTGTCGCCATCACGCCTGACGACTATCCACGCCACAACATTTATGTGTCTTCTATCGCAAACAAGCTTGCGAGACGGTATGAACGGATCAGAAAGCAGGGAGACCTGGAAGAAGCGATTGGCCTTGCACGACAAGCGACAGCTGCCACATCAGCTGGTTGCCGCAGCTGGCCGAAGCAGCTAGTAGTCCTTGGAGACTGCCTTATGCTATCGTACGAGCGTACCAGGGTCATGAGCATTCTGGACGAAGCAATTGACGTGGGCCGTCAAGCAATTGCAGCAACTTCCAACACGGACACTTACCGCGCGGACCGGCTCAGTAATTTGGGGCACAGAATTATGCGGCGGTACGATCGAACTGCAGATTTGAGGGACCTGGAGGACTCGATAAGTCTAGCCCAACAGGCAATCAATGCTGCCAGCCATGGCCATCGTCGCCGCGAAAGTTTCTTCAACGACCTCGAAAGAGCTCTCTCGAAGCGATACGATAGAACGGCAGTAATAGACGATTTGCAGGGCGCCATAAACGCTTCAAGGCAAGCAATAACGGCCATGGCGGGCGACAGAACCAATGCCGCGTTAGTTTTGGGGCAATTGGGGAGACTGCTTACCCGGCTCTACGAACGTACCGGAGCCATACGAGACTTGGAAGAAGCCATAACCACTACGCGTCAAGCCATCGATGCGACCGAAGACACCACCTCCGAACGGAAATGCCGATCGAAACGTCTCAGGTCCCTCATGTGCATGTGGGGTGAGAGACCTGCATAGCCTTGAGAAGGCTCAAAGGGGCCAACACGAGCCCAGTCCCACGCAGGCCCCCATGGAGCAGAGCACCGGTAAGCCCACAGCGCTTTCCACCACGCCCTTCCAATAGTTGCCGCGACGCACGTTGCCAGATGCGGTTTGTTCGAGACTCGCGGTGCCCTTTTTCACGCAAAGGAGACATTGTGTCGAGTCTCTGCAGACACGATGCTTATCTGTTGCCAGTGGAGGAGAGACTGACCTGGCACTCGTCGACACATCGTCAGCCAATGACTGTGGAAGTGGATGAACCGGCTGTGGCATTTCTGCCGCCCCTTTGCCTGCATAACGCCACGCTGGATCTCGATTGGTCGTTTCGCTTACGAATCACATAGTTGTACATACAAAAGCGAGGTGCCAACGGCCTATAAATGGGCGGTGTGCCGTTGACCAAGGCAGGTCTGGGGCTTCCCTTGTTTCCATTCATGCACCAGCAAAGTGCAGTACTGTACAAATACCATTATCGCGCTCAATGTCAGTCAATCACCTCAATTCCGGCGGGAATCATGGATCCTGCGTGAATTGTCTGAACAGTTCCCTGTTCGAGGCAGTCAGAAGCGGTCATCTCGGTCTAGTCCGTCACTGGATACACAATGGTGCTCAAGTCGACTTTGCAAATCCGACGGCCCATGGAGCTTCTCCGCTTCATTTGGCGGCACGTCATAACCGTATCGATATCGCAAGACACCTGCTACGGTGTCTGAATGAGAATCCAGGTCAATCTCAGCAACCTGCCGACCCTGTTTGTTCAGACTTCCCCTTGACACCCTGCTTGATGCATCGAACGCTTTTTCAGGGTAGTCAAACGGATTACACTGCTTTCCACGATGCGGACGACAAAGACTTCGGCGAATGGACTTACGCAACAGCGCATGACTACATCATCAGGGCACCGGCTCAAGACAAGCTCAAGCTCAACCCCGTGGATTGTCGTGGTCGAACGCCTCTTACCTACGCCATACATTGGGAACACCAAGGCATGATCAAGTTGCTTCTGGGCACACCGGGCACAGACCCCTGGTTGGAAGATGATCTAGGCGAAGGACCTGTCTCACACGCGATTAGCGGCGATGATGAGACGACAGTCGAGAACGTGCTCGGTGGGGTCAAGGACCATGGACATGGGATAGATGTTGGGGCAAAAGTGAATGGAAGCCCTCTTGTCACTCTTGTAGCAATGAGGGGCAATCTGGTCGTTCTTAAGATGCTGCTAGAAGCTGGATTCGCATCCGATCCCGAAGAGGACATCTACGGCTTCACAGCGGAAAGTGGGGTCCAGAACGAGCTGGAGTCCTGTGACGACTCCGAGCGTCGGGAAAGGTTACTAGCTTGTCAACATATTATACGCCTAGCCGCAGCGCGTTGAAGATATGGATATGTAGGTAGTAAGACGTGTCAAACACGACAATCCGTGGCAAAATATACTACCTCTGTGACGGGCCTATTCTGCAACAAGTATTCCGCATAAGCACTTTGCCTCTCTTTTTGTGCGCATTATCCCCACCCCCGTCCGTATGTGTAAAATTTTCCTGATTCAGATGTGGTTTGCCGACTCACCCAAGACTTCTAGCCAGCTGCGAGGCTCGGCCGGTAATATGGCTGACAGGGCCTGACTTACAACGTTGCCTCTTCTGCATTAGAAGGAAAGTGGTTCGAGCAAATGAGGCGGTGGTCAATTCTTACCTCCGAGGATCGAGCGACACGTGCTATTTGTACTCGCGCCCCCCGCCATGACCACCGGGCAACGTGGCCGGTACAGCATCAATCCGATTCCCCTTTAGCAACATCGAACGTCGACCCCGACAGAGACGATTCCCATATGTAAATGGGTGTGACAGCTCAGTCAGAGCTTATCCATGGAGTCCTCGCCTCCGCGAAAGCTGACAACGTCCCCCCTGCGAGTCTGCACAGGCTCCAGCAATGCCTCGACCTGGCTCCGCCTTTTCCGATGGTACACCATTTCGTGAAAGTAAAAGGCCAATTTGAGTCCGGCGGCGATTTGGAAACTTTTCAGTCCCGTCTGGCCGAACTTCGCTTGGAGTTGAAGCGTCAAGTGGAATTTATTCGAGCCTTGCAGCATCTTTCTCGTCGCGAAAGGCAATACTGCGCACTAGTGTAGGTACGCCCATGCTACGTGAGGTAAGATTTCTCTAACGAAGGGCTTTCCAGCGAATGCATCAATGTTTTCGAAGTGTGTAGGGTCTGGCGAGACATCGAAAGCTCCTTTGGATCGGACCAACTTATCCCATGTCGCACATGCAAGGAGCTCATCTGCAAGACAATCTCTGGCTTAGGTTTCGGAAAAGCCGACGGAATGATACTGGGAGAGTTGAAAAGGCAAATGTCGAAACTTGAGCTGCACTCCCAGTGCCATCGAGCTGACATCTCCTCGGGGTGATCAACGACGGAAGCGGGTTACTTGTGCGCTCACTCGGCACATTCTTTTGAGACGTTGAAAAGGTACTGCGGCCTTGAATAATAATCATGTACCTTCTTGAAAGGTAATATGGTGCAACTGCGAATGTACCGTGGTACTGCGTACTGATGTAGTCTAACGATGTCTGATGGCTCATTTCATCGCTCTTCGGAGCCACTTATTCCTACATTGTGGCCTCCTCCGCCCACGTAGCGGTTGCTTCGGAGAGCCTACTCGTGCCGATGGTATATCACTCGATGACCTGGGTCGCAGCTGGCGAGTTGGTTTTATATCTTGCAGGCCTTCGGTACCAGAATTTGTCTCGTTGGCGAGTGACAAATCGTCATGATCCTGATCCTCAGTTACTGTCCCTGAGTTCTTTTCCTCCTGACTCCGTGGAGCGGCGTATGAATTCGGCATCGCGATACACCCTGCCAAGTGCCCGTCGATTTCTTCGGCCCTCGCATGTTGTCTGTCGAGAGTCGTCGAGTAACAGTGTGTTGGCCAGTCAATGCCGTCCATATCGTCTGCACTCATCGGTGCCTCCGGTGCTCGTAAACTGCTAGACCTAGTCGTCACGTTTGGCGGGCCTAGGCTGGCGGGAGTCCGAAAGGCTCGCCCTGCAGACGGCGGAGTTACTGAAGGCATTCGCTCGTGTGGCGGGTACATGGTGTTGCACGCTTGCTGGTAGCCCTCCGTCGGTGTCTCCATGCCAGCGGCGGCGTGCGTGATATGGCAGACTGCGCTGCCCTTGTAACGGAGTTGAGTTGTCGAAACAAGACTGATGTTGCGTGGGGGTCTCTGTACGGTCCTTATTTTCGCATAGTGGACATTGGTGCATTATATATGGATATTTGTCTTAGCGATGGCCATGGTAGGTATTCAAGGGTCTCGACTGGTGTCCCCTCAGGCTAGTCTCCCGGCGGCCCGGGTGAGAGCGGAGCACCGTAGCGCGCAAATCCTTGCATGACCCAGTCACCTTTTGCCTGCCAAGATGAGCACCGGTGACCGGTCTAGCTGGGTCTTATCACCGATCATGCCACGACTCATAGAGCCCGAAGACCTCCTTAAGGACCAAAACCGTCTCGTTCTGTGGTAGATACCTATTGAGTTGCGTGATAGCATGACGCGACTGCAAAGGTTGCAACGGCAAGGGGCGGAATCTTTCTTCCGTGGGGTGTCATCAGCCACTCAACGCACAATAAAACACGTTACCGAGTGAATTGCTACAGTACTATATGCCGACATTTTTTCCAATCAATCACGCCATTGCTGACCATTATCAAATCTGCAGTTACTAGAGACTGTTCGTGGAATCAACAGCCCAACCATTGCCCGCATTCATAATTTCTGTAGGGATACGCACTGCCATTGCCGCCAACCAAGACGCCGCCCTCAACCTTGACGCCAAGACACTGCAATTGTGGTGGGTACATTTCCGGAAAATAATCACCTCCATAGCTTAGTTCCGACCCGCCCCGAGTTTCTAAATCGTGAAGGCTGTGCGCGTAATGAACCTGAAGATGCGGAGCGAAGAATACGCCCTCTGAACTTGGCACATGCATGGAAGTCGAGACCGGAAGTAACGTTGACGACGGCAGTGGCTGCAGTGTCGGTGAGGCTACTGAGACGGCCTGGGTCAGTTGACCGTCATGAAGCGGCTCGTGGCTGTGGTAAAAGGCAGAGGGTGCTCCTTGAGGAGAATTGTAAGATGTGGCGGACGTGAGTTGCAAGGGATAACGATTGATTCCCGGACAAACGTTGCTGTAGCCCACAAACTCGCCCAGGTTTGTATCGGTAGCCAGTAACTCTTTCGAACTGCGCTTGACCCTGTCGGAGGAGACTCGAAACTTTTGAGAGGTCGTGAGCTCGGCACGGGGAATAAGATCTCGAAATGCCTGGTCCCGAGATGGCGTAGGGAGCTTCCCTTGAATGACGTCCTCAACACTGTAGTAGCTAATAATGCGGTGCGAGGCGTTGCGATACTTGATACTGATCGTTTTCTTGACAAGGCCGTTCTCCTTAAAAGAAAATGAGTCGACTAGTGAGCCAATAAACAGGCGAAGGTGCCTCGCATGTTCTGACGCATGGGAGGGAAAGTCGTCATTGTCCGAAGGCGATGTGCCCTTGGACTTCGTCAAACCGTCAAGCGAGCCCAAGGCAAATCGTTTCTTGGCACGCTTCTTCTGGCCTGGTGGAAAAGGCTTATTCATTTCCCGATAGATGAGAAAGTTACCCAGGATTCTGCTTGGGCTCCAAGACTTGCCATCGGTCCAGCGCTTGATCCCAGACGCCCGCTCCTGATAGATAAAGATGCTGCCGCTTTTAATGAGCTCCTCTCGTTCTCTGTCGTTTGGGCGACGAGAAACTTGGCTGATACGGCCGCTTAATGCCCATTCGAAAAGCAGCAGAGCGTCGAGTGTCGATGCAATGTAGCCCTGCCAACCTGTCGTGAGCGGAGTGGTGTGCGACATTGTGAGGCCTGGCGGGCCTGATGTCTATGACTAAAGATAGTCTTGCAAGGTCGGCGATCATATGCCGGCGAGGCGGCCGCGTGTGGTTGAGACAGGAGGAGTTGTCCTGGTGGCTGGTCTGGAAGAAGCGAGTCTCCTGACACTGCTCAATGTCAAACGACTGGCAAGCGAGCAGAACCACGGAAGGTAGTGAGACCAAGGGTTAGCCTTTAGTGTTTAGACTTGGGCTGGAATTTCGGACCAATGAATGGCATGTCTGCGTCCGCTGTGCTGCGCTGTTCGCGAGATGTGACTGGCTGGAGCCTGGAGTCTTCTGAGCCGTGCTGCAGCTCCTTTGCGCTTCTACCGGCCGGGTCCATTGTATGGCGGATCCAAGACGGTGTTGCAGGCAGCCACACATGCCTGCACTCAGGGCGTGTGGCCGATTCTAGCCCCCCCCTCCCAAATCACCATTGATGCAGTGGCGACGTCGTGCTACAGGGGACGGACCCTGGGGAAAATTGGCTTGGTTCATGAGCCGGTCTCTACGTTCACGCCCCTCGTTCGTTAGCTTTCCAGCCAGGCACCCCGTCAAGCTCGCCCCCCTTCCTGGCTCTTGTCCTTGGACAACATGACCCAAGTCTGCTCGTCCCAGCACCTACAGTACTGTACTCTGTTGCCCGGTCATGACCAAAAATGGCTCAAGCCTACAGTACCCCTGATCACACCACTCCGGACGTTTCAACGCCATCCACCCCGCGTTCACAAGCGGCACCTTCGGTCTCAGCTGCTTCACGCCACGGGCCAGGAAAGCGCTGTACAACCCCGATGCGTCATTCGCTGAGGCTACGTACCGTTGCCATGGCGGACAATGCCAACTACGACGAATCGCGCCGCCCGGCTCGTGTCAAGCTACTGTACTAGTGCGTTGCGAGCCTCCGCTTCGGGCTTTCGAAGCGCGAAGTGTAGACGAAGGGCGGCATTCCGAACTTGATATTTCCAATATTAAGTCTAGACTTTGCTCAGCAGTGTTGAAAGGATGTGACCGAGCAGCCAACGCCATGAGGCACGTTTATCTGCTTCTCTGGACATGGCTACACGTGACGTGTTCGGCATAAAGCACTCGTCGAGTGGCTGATGGTGGTACTGAATGGCAGGGATCGGACACAGCCACAGCTCCTCTGCCGTCCAAGTTAGCTTTAAATTGCGCAACATGCCCCAGCTCAATTCGAGCTGCGTCAAAGTATAACCCATGCTGCTGCATCAACAGATCGAGTCGGCACCGCGAACAGCTCACAAAGTCACAGGGTCAGTGCCAGATTGACCGCCCAAATGATTGAGGACAAGCCGTCAGAATTGCCAAACCAAGGATCCCTGTTTCCCTGCCCGCTTCAGTTTGCAGGCTGCCAGACGCCATGTGGCAACACAAACGAATGGAAGCGCCACGTATCCACCAAACATTTGCGCCATCTTATCTTCCGATGCGCCGAGGGTAGCTGTGCTACAGGTACAGCTCGCCGAAACTGGCCACGTCACGACACACTCATGGAGCACACGAGTAAGCAACACGGCGGCAAGGCCAAGTACGAAGTTCTTCGGGCCGAAGCGCCGTCAAGTTTACCGTGCTTTGTCGAAGGTTGCAAAGAATCATTCTCTGGATGGAGATGGTACACAGATCTGTTGGAGCATTGGCTGGGGCATACCATGGACGCAAAATGCCACGACGTTTTCTCGCGCGAACCCGGACGGCCGAACGGGACGGCCTTTGTTGACTTTGGCATCGAACGAGGCTTTATCGCGCGAGATGAAACTGACCGACTTCAATGCCCCAAGAGGCCAAGTGGTACGCACTACCATGTTGTCGAAAGGCGGTACACGCAAGAACAAGAATCAGCATGCTCCTGTGGCTGGACAGGTACTGTCGGCAGTAAGACGCGCCACAGAAGCCACAGATCGCGTTGTCTGCTGTACTCGTGGGATCCCAAGCCACCAACGTCGAACGATGTTCCACTGGCTACCGTGGTACACAGCCCGACAGCGGAAGGGTGGTCTCCGTTCCGACGCACTGCTTGGTCCGCTCCGGAATGCCCTCCCCGTGGACCGACGGGGCTGGTTTTTCCTGCTGCTGTATCATCAAATGGCGAGCCCTCACTGCCTCCAGCCAGGGAAGAAGTTATCTGGCATACCACCGCAGACGTCATCAACCAGGAAAACAAGACGTACCAAGGCATCCAGTACAGGCCTCGATGGAGCGGGCCTTTTTTCGGAATGATGCATGTCTCCGCTGACGAACGGGTTTCCATCGATGATGAGCCGTACATTCTTACCAGAGTCCTGGCCAGACTAGTGGCGGCCTGAACGCTGCAGTCGAGTCAGGCCGGCTTGGGCGTTGCTAGCAGCATGGAGCCAGAAGGGAGTCGATCGATTCATGTCAGCAGCTTCAGGGATTGATCACCTTCGTGTAGTGCTTGCAAATATATCTCACGGCGAGTTGATGCGGTCAGGGGGTATAAATACACCACGTGTTCAGTCGCTTCTACCAACGTCATGTGCCTGGGAGACAGTTCATTGAGGCAGGTCACTGGCTAGCTCTTGGAGACTGACACGAGGCAGTATCCATCATGGGCCACTTCTTGAGCCTATAGCAGGACCATTTCGCCCACCTCAGTCGTCGCTAATGCACAATTAATTCTACACGCCGCTGATATTGGCCTCAAGGCTCAACCCCGCAACATGTCATAGGTTGCGCCTGTGTTGTCTGAAGCCAGGTGTGAATGACTGCGCTTCTAACTGGGAACAGAACCACCATTCAGCCTGTCGGCTGCATTGCGAGCATCAAGCAATTTGTGTTCAAAAGCAAAGCGAGTTACTAGCAAAATCTCGGCTCAGCTCCGACGCGGCCCGGACGACACACCCGGGCCCTTCTCGTTGCTCACAGTTGATGTCCCCCTCTCCCCTCAAAGGAACACACGCTGGACAAAGGTAATTCTCTAACTGGTCATTCTTGATACTTGGCAGGATCGGCAGACGGTTCACCGGCGCTCGGCGAAGCACGACAATAGTAGACGGTGACAGCCGGGCCGTGTGGCAGTGATGACGTAGCTCCAGTCGCTGTCGCAGACAGCAGCCAGTGGCTTTCTTGATTGTATGCTACTGTCTTCCGCCCTCTCGCCACTGACCCGTATTCAAATGGTCTCCACGAACGTACATCCCTCCTGTTCATGACGCTGTCACCGCGCCGCAGAAGGCGCTCATGAGCTGAGAGCGAGTCTGGTGAAGCATCGTATTGTCCATGCAGTGGCCCAGCTGGTGCTTGGGCCGACTGGAATCGCCGCCAGGTCCGGCATTTCGATACTTACGTCGGGGTAGCCGTCTCCAGCCCTCGTCTCGCCGTGAGAAAGACAAGAGCCGGAGGCTCGGCGCCGGCGACGACGAAGGAGAATCACCGTTGTCAGACGCTTCTTCCGTCGTCGACCTCCATTTCCACCGGCGCGGGTCCGACAGCGATGAGGCGAGCTGCGCTCCGCGTCTCGTCAGGCAGACCCTATAGCTCAATATCATACTTCGACGTCACGCCAAACTGGCGAGTCCCAGCGTCCCACGTCAACCACTTGCCCGCGTTGGCGATCTTGCGCCCGATCCAAAGGATACGTTCTTGTCTCTTCACGGCATTGGAGCGCATCTTCAGGTACCTGTCCGTCTCGTCGAGCCTCTCGTTGTCGAACCAGCCATTGGGGAAAAAGTCCTCAGCGAAGAGGAGCCCGCGCAGCGCGTAGTCCTCTGGCAGGGGAATCGGCTCCTCGCCCTTCTCCGGGCCCGGTAGTTTATCTGTATCGATCCGGAGCTCCGTCTTTATCGTCTTCAGTAAGTAGTTGAGCATGACGGAAGTAAGCTTCCACGGAAATCGGTCCTCGAGATGCGACATGGCGGCCGAGAGCCGCGACATGCGCAACATGAAGACCAGCGTGGTGTGAATGCAGCTTAGGGTGTTCTCGTCACTCCATCTCCGCAGGACAATTTCTTGTGTCCGGGCAGCAAAAGACAACGCTTGCTCGAAGTTCTCGTCAACGGACTCCCACTCGTGTTCGGTCACAAAATCATAATCCGCTTCCGCTTCGTTTTGCTGCTCGATGAGCGCCCTCATCAGGACGTTTGATTCTGCACCGAAACCCAATAACAGGCAGCAAAGAGAGATGCCCACATAGTACCTAACCGCCTGTTAGTGCATCACGGCGCGAACGTGTACCAGATGCGACTCATCTCACCCCGCTTCCAGCCAATCCGATCGTTCGTTGTCGATCCGGCCGTCAAGGAGGCTTAAGAACTCGTTCATTGAGCCTTCTAGCTGCTCTTTCGATTTTCCTGAGAAGAAGATGCCATGCACGCGCACGAAAGCGGCATCTACGGGGCCAAGCTGCTGGGGCGAGCCGTTCAAAAGAGGATCAAAGAGCGTCATGATGCTTTCGCGCGCTCTGGGGAACGGGATAGGCACGCAAAGCGACTTGGCATAGAAGTACAACTGCTGGAGCGCATTGGGCCGTGCCAGGATCGCAAGGTGATGGTAGAGGCGGCCGGCCGTGGGTGATTTGTCAGAGGCTTTGCTGTACCAATATTTCGAAACGCCTGTCCACGTCTCCCTGTCTCGAATATCATCATCCTCGATCCCCCTTCGATACCTACTAAGGTCGCCAAGGCATTCTATCCACATGTCTTCAAATGCCGGTACTGTCTCGTACAACAGTGCAATCATGCAGTATGCGATCGAAATAAAGGTCAGCATATGCTCCAGCGACTCCGGGAGCTTATGCCGAAGAAGTTCCAAGAAGGAATGGATGCCGTGGCGCCACATTCTCGCGGGCATGGCGAATTTCGAAGCGAGACGACGCAAGGCTTCGCTAGCAGACGGATGCTGGCTCGCCAGGAAGAAATCGTGGTGCTCGTGGAGCACCGATCTATGTAAGGCGATGAGAGCTTGATATTGTTCTTGACTGAGTTGCTTCGTCTCTTGTGTGCTGTCATACTCGATGCACTTTGACTCAATCATGACCAGGCCTGCGTAGATGCCCTTAACCTCGGCAACCAACTGCTCGGGAGAGATGGGCCGTGTCTCTGGCTGCCTTATCATCTCAGTCACCGAAGCAGGCTCCACGGGTGAGCCGTAGTCCCGTTGGGGCCCTCGCAGAGTCCTGGTCAGCGGCGAGCGCCGTGAGCGGTTGGAGGCGAGCTGGGAGTGCCTGGGCTGTGGCGTCTTTGGCCGTGCGTCATCGTCAGGGTTGTAAAGGTGGCGAGTGGTTGGGCGGTGGTGCTTGGATGCGAAGCTGCGGTTGAGGTCACTCGAGTCTCTGGGCCTCGCGCAGCTGTGGCCTGGGGTGGGTGGGGAGGAGCCACGGATCTGGGCCACCGAGGCTGGCGGAGAGCAAAGCTTCTTGTTACTGCGACGCTGGTAGCCCACGGATTGAGCCTCGGGATCCCCGTGCCGGTCCAGGCCGTCGGAGCGGTCCACGGGGACCGGAGCACCGGGGACGGGTCGCTTCCTTGTTACTCTGCCGGGGCCGGTGGCCTCCGGGAACCGGGCTGCAGGGTGTGATCTGCACACGCCCAGTCAACACCACGGGAACACTTTGACATGAAAAAGGCACAGCACGTCGGGGGCGTGGGCGCTTACTGGGGACTTTGTATCATGACATTCATAAAGGCCTCCTCGATGTCGGCGTCATCGGACAAGGTGGGATGCTCCTCGCGGACGTGGACTTTGAAGGAGTCGAGGTCGGGCTGGATCTCAGCCTGGCAGAAGGGGCATCCGCTCCGGGCAACCGTCTCCTGGCGGGCCGTCTTGCGCAGATGAGTAATCCAACCCTTTGTCAGTCGTTCCATGGCAAGACTATGGTAGTCTGGATATTTTCGGTGTGCTAGCACTTGACTGTAAGAGCGACTGAGGAACTTGACCTTTTTGTGTTTTCGACAGCAGTATTGCCATGGAAAGCCTCGGTTTTATAGAGGCTGAGGGATAATAACGAAGCGTGCCGCAGAGATAACTGCGGCCAAATAACGAGGCAGCAGTGAGGCGACTGGCGAACCATTTGCCTTGCAGGGGTATCTGTTGAGGTGTGATGAACCGAGCCCTGGTCTGTTGAGGATGGCCGTCGCGACCTCTTGCGTGACTCATGTGACAACCAACCTACAATGCCCTCACACGCCTGAACGCTACGGAAAGTTAGCGTGCTTTCAACCTCAGGTAGCTGAAGTTGGGCCACCGCTGTACAATTTGACTCGAACGAGTGACGAAAAAGAGACAAGCCGTACAGTAGCATACGGTGACAAACGTCTGGTCTCCACCCCAGTCCATCGCGCGAGCCTGAGCAGGAGCACATTGCCAATTGCCAAAGTACACCGGCACGCTAGCGACCTGCGGAGCTTGGTAATGTATTCCTCTACTATTGCTGATTCACACTTGACGCTTGACTCTGGAGATAACGACATCACAACGTCTCGCCAAACGGTCTGCTCGCGGCGCCTACCCTCCTAGCTCTCTTCACAGTATATCATTGCTATACTCGTTCGTTTCAACCTTTCACCATCACCCGTCTCTAGAGCATCGTTGAACTGCATGGGCATTAATGATCGAGGCAGTTGGCCACTGCTAACATTCCTTGCTTAGATGGGGGATCCCGCTGAGCCTAGACACGTCTTTTGCTGTGCAGTTCGACCATTGATTGGTCTCCGGGCCATTTGACACAGAAATTTTCTCTTCAGATCCTTCTGACAGAGCGGACGACCACATCACGCTTACGCCCGCCGCGACTTCGTCGATAAGCCTGGATTGTGCATTCTGTGTTGTCAGCGACGGGCTCGGTTTTCCTCTTTCGATCGCCGAAACAGCCTTGTTGATCTCGTTTTCGCATAAGAAGCAGCAGACACTCATCCGTACCCGGGGTCTCGCAGATAGAGACTCAAGCTTGATGCTAGTGATCGCCGACCTCAGTGAACCCCCTCAGAGTTTCTTCACATGCCGACGGCATACATCTCCATGTGACATCACGGTTGTCGTGCAGAGGTGACTTGACGTTCTGACTAGCAACGATGCACAGCGCTTGGGCTTGACTCAACGGGCAGTTCGTACTATTGTGACTGGAGGCCACTCCTCAACCAGTAGCGGTGTCTCGCTCGAGTTCATGAGACTGCTCACATTTCTTCGCACCGCACATCAGGTTGACACCGCGCTCCCTACTTCAAAATTCCCGTCGTTGCACAACCGAAATTGATCACTTCCAGCTGTCCTGAGGCGGACAGGAGTATGACCATACCAGTGATGTGCACTACGCAATGTAGCAAAGCCCCATGTCCTTGTCGAGCCCATCGTGCTAATCTTTTCCCAGTATCTGAAACAAGGACGACGTCTGTTGCCGTAACGGCTAAGATGAATCTATCCAGATAGATGTCGACGTAAATGATCGTCATGTGGAAGCTTCCTCGCTCTGAGCCAGACGGATTGAATATAGTAAAGCTGCTGTCCACCCCAATGACGCGTGTACCGTTCGAAAAGGTACACCACCGGCTTCCGCGAGCTTGAGACATGGTCCCCCAGTGCTTGTGAGAGAGTAGCTTTTCTCGAGCAAAACCCATACGGTCGTCTGCATTGCTCCCGTCGAGGTTGAGAAACGTAAACGTATCAAATTTCCTGTCCTGTCTGTCTTCATGGACTTCACCGAACCACCCGCGCTCGAGTACCAAAACGTCACCCATGACGCGAACAGAGAGAATCCTGATGAGTCCTGGCGGAGTCTGGTACGACGACCAAAGCCACAGCCGGCTTGGGGGGAGATCGCCCTGCAGTTTCCATATCTTTACCGTCTCGGACGAGTAAGATACCCAAGTGCCGGCAGCTCTTGTCGGAGAGAAGCCCGCGACACCCGGGTGAGAGAGGGTGGCGATGCAGGCAACACCTCTGTTGTCCCGGACTTCGATGACGTCTTCATGGCATAGGCCCAAGACATACGGACCGATGCGGGAACCAAGCGCACTCGACTGGAGCGGTAACCAATTGTGTGTCAGACCACGCATCGCATGCGCGGCTCACGAGTACTCCGTCCTGCTCGCCGAACCAAAGCGGACCGAGTGTTCCCATGTAGTGGCCCGGTGAGCTGTGGCAGGCCGCGACGTCTGGCAGCAAAGTACAACATCCGTTTGTCCGGAAGACACACATCGAGACCCGTCCGTCCGTAATTGCGGCAAAAACAATCGTGATTGAGTCGAGATGCCTGCCTCCTAAGAGGCCCCCAATGCTTGAGTAAGTCTCTCCGCGCCTTGCCGGCGGTTCCCTTCCGTTGCCGTTTTCCACAGCCTTGATGGTGGAAAGTAGGGACTCCAGTACAATCTGGGGGTTGCTAATTGTTCCATCATTGAATGTCGGGTTGATAGCACAGTGCAAGACCTTGGCAATCGAATGGGATGCCATTCTGACTGTCGGATATCGCAGGCCCAGTTTCACTCGCCCCGAATATGACTTGATTGATGGAGCTCTGGTCGATGCCTCATGAATCTGCCTATGCAAGACAACACAGCCGGCGAACAATCACGACGCTTGCCAGCGGCCGGCACAGGAGAGATTAGGTTTGTGCCCAAGCAGGTCTGACCCTGCGTACCGACTCCCAGTCTAAGTGGCCAACCGAGACTGCCTTGCCAGCATGTTGCGGCCTGCGGCGTAACGTAAAGACGGGAGGGGAAAGAGACAAGAGTCTCGGTTGCCTCGCAAGAGATCGTCACTGCCCATGCTGCAACAGGAATCGCGTCGTTCAGGGCGTCAAGGTCACTCAATGAGCATATCGTGTTCGCCATTGCCGCCACTTCATACCTCGCTCGGTCATTCGCCGCCAGCTTCCTGCGTCAGGGGTAGGGGTGAGAAGATGCACCAGAAGGGCCCGTGCCGTCAAGCCTCACCGTTTTCTATCTTGACACCCCCTCCATCAGGACGCCCACCCATCTGTGTGTCTCTCTTCTGTATGTGATGAGACTCCCCTCCTTCGAGCGGTTGGGGCTGAATGCTCCGCCGCAGGCTGCTAAACTCGGACACCCTTGAGCATCGGCGACTGACCATGGTCACCCCGGTAATTATCCATCTCTAGTATCTCAGGATGTGTATTTGGGCTGGTTCCACTCCCACCATCGGCCGCCTCACGGAGTCGGGGGGTGGGAGAACCTCCCCCAGACACCGCCATTCCGAGGATGATCGAAGGAACACTGCCCCGCAAAGTCGGCGACCAAAAGGTCAGTACTTGACTCGTTCATATCCGGTAGGCCTGTCTCGAACACGGCCCTCGACCCAGAGCTGAGATTAAGCTAGCATCCCCACCTGCCGTGTCACATCGAGAGCTGAGACCAATGCTACGAGGCAACAGGGCACACCGGAGTCTTCGGGACTCTCGTGGTCAAGCATCGCGCCCACGATAGGCTCCACACTCTCGCGTATACGTGGGATTACGAGAGAGGCGCCTTGCCAGCCATTTGTGATGCACCGTTACGCTGGGAGCCCCGTGCACTGAGAGGGTACGGGGCATTCAAAGTAAGGGGGAAGTCTCGTGTCGTGTGGCAGGGTGCCAGAGCTAACTGTTCGCCATTGTCACCCTTCACCAAAATCCCTGATAGGATCGCACCGCCGATGAGACGTGGAGCCGGTGGCTCAGAGTGGGCTGTCCCCGTGGCGAACCCACAGGCCTCACTGTCCTTTGTGCCATCAAAGGCTGATTGCCTCACTTGGGACTGGTCTTCCCTCTCAACTCATTTGGCGTCAGAGATGGTGCAATTAATGTTCAGTTGACTATATAGCGCCTATGCACAATGGTGTAGCGTTGAGAGAAACACCCTTCTGACCCTGATCGATTCTCAGCTTCTTTGGCCCTCTCAGTGTATACTGATGTAGCAGTGGCTTAGGTCGTAAATTCTTCCGCTGAGGGTTCACCGCATGTTCGGCTGAGAAAACTGAACGTTTCCAGCGGCGGTCCACCGTCGGGGTAGAGCAATAAAACCCGACCCCTAATGTCTACAATGCAGTCAAAGTCGACATCGGGTTGCTCCCTGGGACGACTCAACAACACCTTGGCCTCCTGTGATAGAATAATGAGCTCCTTGTGCGTCACCGCAATGATGAACCGATCCAAGTATGTATCGACATGACAACTGCCCAGTTCAAATGAGCCCTGAGCCTGTCCTTCGCGCCCAAAAATGGTAAACTTGCCGTCCACACCAACAACATGAGTGCCGTCCGAAAAAGCACACCATCGGGTGCCTTTGGAGTGGTCCATTGTTGCCCAGTATTTGTGATCACGGAGTGCTGGCGCAAACGGAAGCTCCACAGCTTCGCCATGGAGATCACGGTATTCGAATCTCTGAAACATCGGCATTTCCTCGCCATCCCAGTCAGCGCGCCTGGCAATCTCGATGGCTAGAATGCCTCCGATTTCGCGAACGCTCAAAATCTCATCATCACCGGGTGGTATGGTATACTGTCCGATCAGAGGTTCCGCTGCACATTCGTTGTCCAGGCGCCATATGAGAGTTGTGACGCCGGAGTGAGTTACCAGGACACCTGGGTATCGTGTCGGTGCAAAGCCCTTAATGCCATGGTGAGGAAGCATCGAAATCCAGGTCATTCGTGTCGCGTCCCAGATCTCGAGACCATGATACTCTGCGAGCCGCAAGAGATGCCCGCCGACCCGAATATGTTGGTCTGTCGCCGACCCGACGATTGGTCGAACATCTGTCCAGCAGTCGAAGCTGCGAATCACAAGGTACTGGCCGTCCGTCCCTAGCCAAAAGGGCCCCGTCGATCCGACATGAAGGTAAATATCAGACGAAGATGACCAGGCCGATACGTCTCTCTCAAACATGATGCGGCCGCCTTGTATCTGAAAGACACACTTGGATGGCAGGCCGGCGGTGATAGCTGTGAGCATGACGGTGTTTCGGCCGAGTGTCTGAGCGTCCAAAAACGCTCGCACCTCATCACAACTGACGTGAAGAACTTGATCGACTGCGTCATCAGCGGTCCCTCCATTGAGGGCCTCTATGGCCGAACAAAGACAACGCCCCGCCTGTTGCGGAATGGGGACGTCACTGAGGGCCGTGTTCTCCGGGCAGTGTAGAAGTTCGATGACAGTAGAGCTGCCATCCTGTTCAGTCGTATCTTGCGCAGAGCTTGCTTGCGGAATCTGTGCGTTTGCCATGATGGACATTTCGTTCTTGCCTGCGTCTGGCCTATGTTGGCTCCGTAGTATTCGAGTAGGTGCGAGGTCCGGTAAGAACAGAGTCAGGAAGGTCGAGGAAAGAGAGTCGTGCGCAAGATGTTTAGGTTTTTGTGCAGCCGTCATGCAGCTGGCGATGGCAGCCGTGGCAAGGGGAAGGTTTGAGGATTGGTCGCACACGGTGAGTCCCGATGCAGGCGGCACTATTGCTGCGGCTAGACTTGGGCCACTACAAGAGACCATCACATGAGCGAACCACTTCTAGCACAAGACCGTAAACCACCCGGTTGAACGACGCCCTTGGAGTAGTATTACACGCCGATGCCTACTACCTGAGTCACGGTTGACCACCCCAAAAAAGACAGGCAAAGCAGAAAAGCTTGAGGCTGGTACAGTAGGCGAGTGAGCTATCGGCACTGCTTCCTGTGGCTGAGCGGCCAACAGGTATTCCTGACCAGAGCCGACGCAGGAAAAAGTTGTTGGGCCTTGGTATGCATTTCATGGGCAGAGATGGGGGGACGTATGGTGGACCATGGGCAATGGACGTGTCCTCTGTATGTGACGGGCGGCGCAGGGTTGCGATACGAGCCGGCACAACTCGCTGGTGGTCTTCATTGAATGTTCCAGTGGCCACGTACAGACACGATGTAACACCATTTTCCAAAAATGCCTCTCGCTAGAACTGGAACAGTTACTGGGTCCACCGCCACTGCCATAATGGTCCCCGTCGTCGCCATCACCGTGTCCTCGTTCCGGCTTGTATAGATGACGGGGTGAGGGGCAGGCGCGTCCATGATTGCAGTATGGGATGGTGCTCCGGCGGCAAGCTGCCAGTATGGCGAGGGTCATGCATTCAAACTTATGTGGACGGTCCATTCAGCAAGATTGTCTGGTGGCATTGGTTGGTAACCAGAAACACATTCACTTTCTAGCTAAAGTCTAAGAGCTACCACCCGCCAAACTATCTCTGCTGCTTTGCGGCTGCCCTACGTTTCCACGACCAGGCTTCTCAGCAATCATCAAATCCTCGAGCCCGTGATGACGGAGTCATGCGTCACACATCTTGCAACATCCTTTAACGGTGGAGGTACTGGTAGCATTGTGAGCGAGTGAACAGTAGACTCTTGATATAGGTCATTCAACTTACTGTAGATCAAAACTACGGACAGATACCCATTGATCGTCCGGGCTGTGCTCGCCATCCCTGGACACCGAGGAATAAGTGAATTCCTTTTGCGGCGGAGGCGCGACAGGAAGCGGAATCGGTCTCTTCACGTGAGCACCTCGAACGGCACCATATCCAATGCCACCAGCCGAGATTCTTACCGGATGAACGGGTGCTGGTGGAGGGGCCAAGTGCAGCCGTGCGGGACTCGGAGCAGGTGGCGAGCGGGCGACCTCGACTTTTCTGTAGTGATCAAGCAAGGCACCCAAAATGCTGTCCACCGCGTGCTCCTTGACACACGGTAACTGGATATTGAAATGTCGACAAAGTGATACAGCCGTTAGAAGCCCCATCAAGAGTATGTCTCCCGGCCTGTGATCAATTCGGTCGAGCTCGTAGTTGGGGATGATTGACCCGGGGATTGCCTGTAGGCATTTGAGCAGGACCTTGATCGTCTTCTCATCGTTCCTGACAGGTGATAATTCAGGTAGACGCAGGGGTATAGGCATTGTCGAAGAGGATTCATCGATCCTGGCGGCTTGCGTCTGCTCAAGGATATGAGCTCTCCAGCCGAGGCCCTCTTCCGATGGCTCTTCCACATTTCCAATCCAGCCCTCCTCGGCTTCGGCATTCAAGACGATAGTATGTGCTTGGCCAAGCCAGTCGTGACCAGGTTTCCATCGCGTATACGGCGGCGCGATACCGAATACCTTGGCAAAGAATTCCAGGCGCTGCGGAGATATTGACATCGTTGCGGCAGAAACGTGTATTTCGATGGTACAGCCTAAATGTCCGCTTATTGAAGGAGCCGTGGGCAGTCGCCAGCCGTTGCGAATTTATAGACCGGAGCCTCGTTACTCACTTGGCAGACAACGCGCTTGTTCCTTAGCGCTTGTGAGTTCCACGGAGTTGCACGGAGCTAGTAAGCCTTGTATGCATCTCCAGTGGATACGAGAAAATTCCCGTCCCTGCACTCATTTCGAAGGAGAGTCTGGGCACGAGCGTGTGTCTATCCCTAGGCAGCCGACTTGCAGGGCGAACCGGTGAAGAGTCCTGCCGCCCCGTTCATTCAAGCCAGGGCTATCGTTCACCACTGTGCGGCTGGCTCTGCGTCAATCAAGGCCAGGGAGCTATTAAGCAAGGCTCAAAGCGCGAAGAAGCCTTTGATACGGCGCAAATCTAAGTCCAAAATTGCGACCACCCCTCTTCTCTCAATTCCCCCTCCAAGCCCAG